CACACACACACACACACACACACACACACACACACACACACACACACACACGAGCGCGCTCGCACGCACAATCATAATGCCGAAAGCTAGATCTAGTAGGAATGAACGACTGAGATGTATAGATCTAGATTCAAGTCATTTCTATATGTACTTAAATTAGACATAGATCTAGATTCTATCTAAGTAGATGTAAACACACAGACCTATTGATCTACTAAAATAAGTATTAGAAACTCCCTTTGGTTTTTTTACCATAACGGGTTTCCATACTTTAGCGCACACGTCTGTGTGTGTGTGTGTGTGTGTGTGTGTGTGTGTGTGTGTTAGTGTTAGCACAGGTGTCTCTGTGTCTTTGTTGATTTTTAAACGAACATGTGGTAACACATCAATTTTTCTGATAAAGCTTATTTCTATAACTCATACTAAAGTTACATACTACACAAAATGACAAACCTGGCTTTAAACGTATGCGAAAATCCGTCAATAAGCCATCAGCAGTAAGTGTGTCACAGGAGGAAAGGTGTCTCGGTTCCCAGGAAAACACTTAAGGTGGAATGCCCGGATGTAAACAAGCAAAAACGTCTTTTTAGTTTTTATGAAAACCCTGGAAGGTTATAACAGAAATTTGTCGATAGAAAAATACCAATATATAAGAAACGCAACACCCTAGACATGTATAATTTATGGTGGGTGTTTACCCAGAACCAGACGCCCTACATGAATTACTCTTTGCTGATGACCAAAGCCTGGCACACAAAGATGAAAGTCTCCAACACCAACCTCCAGATTAAACGACGAATGTAAGATCAACATCAACAAAACAGAGACAATGAAAGTAAGCAGAAAGCCAGGACCACTCAGGATACACATCAACAACGACAGTCTCAGACAGGTCCAAGAATTTAAGTAGGCCTACCTCGGAGGTATATCATAGAGGGTGGGCCTCTGAACAGAAACATTGAAAACACGGGTACAAAAGGATGTACATGTAATGTTAGTCACCAGCCTGCTCCCCTACTGAAACATCCTAACGTCCCCATGACAACAAAACTCAAAATGATCAACACCATAATATAATTCATCCCAACGCTCACCTATCAATGCCAAACATGGACCATGAACAAGACACTGGAGCAAAGATTCGAATTACTACAACTACAACATGTGAACTGTGATGTCTTGGAAAGTTCCTTTTGAACATGTGAACTGTGATGTCTTGGAAAGTTCCTTTTGAACCTATTATTAAATTTCCACGTTGCCTTTATATATATATATATATATATATATATATATATATATATATATATATATATATATATATATATATATATATATATATATATATGCAATGTATTATGATTATAGATATAATATAATAAGTGTTTGCCTGGTTTTTCGATCATTGCACATCATTATAAGTATAAGGTCTAATATGAGAGACTTTATTGTACCTAACAAAGGAAGCCCAATAAGACCATTCTTTTTCCTACAACTAATTGGACTTCCAATTATTGCCTACAACCTAATAAGGCTTTCTGAGTAACCAATACCCACCCAACACTGAAGCAACACACATGTATTATCACTGCTCACTACGCAGCAGCTACTCAAGAATTACTCCTGTTACTTCAGTGTTACTTTCACTATTCTAGAATATAATGTCTGAACACAGACCTTTATTTCACTTGATCTACTATGTCATTAGTCAAGCTGTATACCCAAGTAATCGCCACTCTATCAGCTTTGGTCCCCGAGACTTGCGCTTTTTGGCCAAAGTTTGACCTGGCTGACAAGGAGGCAATGTTGTCTAGAGCAAAGTTATCTGGTAAGATGTGGCAAATGAACTGACAACTTCCGGTTCCACAATGGCTGAAGTTGAAGTAGCACCGCTGCGGTCTATGTCCGATTTCCTTCTTGATTCTGCAAGGTTCCAGCTACCGCAAATTAGCGATCAAGAAAAATGGTCAAATCGAGTGCTGAGTAATTTATTGTATTATCAGTCAAATTATTTCCTATCAGCGCTCCTTATATTTCTCATGATAGGGTGAGTCTGCTAGAGTAGTCAAGATTATTAGTAACTAACTTTTAATCTAAGAACTAATAAACTAATCTAACTCTTATCCTGCGTCTGTGCCCAGATGCGTATCTTATCAGCAACCGATTACGTCGGACTCGCCGGGCAGGCCTCCGAGGTGTGTACTGTTTGTGTACAGCGCGCGCGCTGGGAAACGTGTGTTTTCGCCATGAATACCGCGGGAGTGTTGTTAACTGATGAGATGATGAAAATTATAACGCTCTATCCTTCATAGCATTCTAGGCTGGATTGTACTTTACCGGACCACCCGTCTCGGTCCGTGATTACTACGCACACCTAGATCTAGCCTAACTACGCTCTCATAGTCATAGTACTCTGCGTGCAGACAAAAGGTAGTTCCGCGGGCGACTTCGCGCACGCACAGCGCAAGCCAGCGGCAACTGGCGAGGCGAGGTGAACGAGAGTTGGTGGTTGAGAGTGGGCAGGGGATTTAACTTTGGTGGACCACCGTGTATCATACCAACAGTGAGGAGGGGGAGGGGGGGTTCAGGGGGGGCTTGCCCCCCTGGAAACTATAATAAAGAAAACACACAAAAATGCGAAACAATAACATGAGCGGACAGTCGTGTTTACAGGGGGTTTCAGGGGGGCTAGCCCCCCTGGCAACAATAATTTAAAGACACTCACACACACATATTATAAACAATAACATGAGCGGACAATCGGGGTAGATACTCGCCAAGTCGCGAGCAGGGCCAATGGGGTTGCAATTATGTTATTATGCAAATGAGCTCTCGTGTGCCTCTTTAGCCCTCCATTGTACTTTGCCGGACCAGGAGTAGGCCTAGGCCAGGCCAGCAGAGTTGCGAGCAAATAAGAATAGTGGACCACGTGATTAGATTGACCAATTAGCCTCAAGATGTCAGGGTCATGGGTCAAAGGGCACGGTGGCACGGTCGTGATGACTGAAAAACCCGGTAAGAGACGTCAGTCGATTGCTGGCAGTTGAAGAGTGAGGACGTAGAAAACTGAGTAGGGGAGTGAGTAGGGGAGCTCGGAAACCAAGAATAGCGGGCCACTAGGCGCCATAGCGAAAGTAGTTCCGACCGGTGGTCCGGTAAAGTACAATCTTACCGCATTCTATTTATTTATAAAGTGTTACAAACACATGAATAACCCCCTCTCACAAGCTGATAAGACATTACGAGTAGTTACGCCCATTTGAATAAACCTTTCTGGACGCTCTTGTTGTATGAATGACCTGAGGTTCGAAAAGGGATAATTTAGGTCAATTTCCGAATGTTTTACACTCAAATTGTTCTTTGTACCTGCACAAGGGTATTCAAAACTATTTAACAAGCTCATTTTTTATCAGGTAGATCTAGTATCATTTCATACAAAATCAAGCTCATTTGAAATATTTTGTATAGAAAAATGAAAGTCTTGTTTCCTGACTATCCTTTCGAGCTCCTCATGTCTAAGTGGGTCAATTTCTTCTATAATTTCATTAGACGAACATCTAGAGCTATCAACTTGGCATGTTTTGAATGAGACGTATGCCTCGATTACGAACCAACGCAGGTGGTTCTAGAAGAAGGCCACAAACGCACACAAACTCAAGCAGACTGACGCACACACACTTGACCTGCGTGAATGGGGATCCGACTCGGGACCCGAATGACACGTAAGAGGATGCGCGTGCGCTGAGCCAGGAGCTACACTGACTCGGGACCAGAACGCAGGCGAGGTGCCGAAACAGGCTTATCGGGCTACATAAACCCGGCTCCCGCAGGATGAGGGCTAAGATTGTTGATCTTCTGTCTAAGTAAACTAAGGCTAAGGCTAAATACAGTCGAACCTGTGTAAGACGGAATCGCAAGGGAGCACAAAAAAATTCCGTCTTCGACCGGGGAATTTAGGGGGAGATGGGGGGGGGGGGGGGGGGG